GAGCACTTGACGAAAACAAACTACATGATTTTGACATACTGGTGGAACACACACGTGGGGTTGTGTGCATCACAGGGGATCCCATCCAGCGCCTTGGGGCCTACATGATTGAAGGTCTAGTTGCAAGGAAAGAGGCTTCAGGCAGGAACATTTGTAGGGCACTCAGATGCCACGAGCCTGCAGGGACGATGAGGGACTTACTGTCCTACATGCACGTCTTGTACGAGACATGGCCCTACCTAAAGTTCGGTTGCATGGCTGCAAATGGCGCCATTGCCCGGGCATGCAGAGGCGACGACCGCATTCATATAATAGACTTTCAAGTCGGGCACGGGAGCCAGTGGATGACACTCCTGCAAGCACTCGCCACGAGGCCAGGTGGGGCCCCCTACGTGCGCATCACCGGGATCCAGGATCCGCTTTCTTCTTACTCGACGCATGGCGTAGGTTCCGTGGTAGGTGAACGCCTTGCGGCTATGTCTGAGAGATTCAACATCCCAGTCGAGTTTCATAACGTGCCTGTTTTCGCCTCACTGATAACGAGAGACATGCTTGGTATTCGACCGGGCGAGTGCTTGGCGGTAAACTTCCCTCTACAGCTCCACAAAACCCCTGACGAGAGCGTGGATGTCACCAACCCGAGAGACAGGCTTCTGAGGATGGTGAAATCCCTGTCTCCCAGGGTGGTGACATTGGTGGAGCAAGAGTCGAACACCAACACGGCGCCCTTCTTCCCCAGGTTCAGAGAAGCCATGGATTACTACTCAGCCATGTTCGAGTCGCTAGACGTGGTCCCGGGTATGAACACAACTCACACAAGAGAGCGCATCATCGTCGAGCAGCACTGCCTGGCAAGAGACTTGGTGAACATCATTGCGTGCGAGGGAAAAGAGAGGGAAGAGCGGCACGAGATGTTTGGGAAATGGAAATCGAGGTTCACCATGGCGGGGTTTAGACAGCTTCCTCTTAGCCCTTATGTGAATTCGGTCATAAAGGACCTCCTCGGGACTTACTCTCAACATTACACACTTGTTGAAGAAGATGGAGCGATGCTATTGGGATGGAAGGAGCGAAACCTCATCTCTACATCTGCTTGGCACTGAATCGAAGCAATAATATACTCCCTCCATCCTCCATAGATCTTCCCAATAGCCCTTTTTCTTTGTCCACAATAGATCTTCCCATTTCAATTTTTAACAATTAAAATACCACAACTACCCCTACTTACTTTATTTATTACACCTCACCCACCTCATTTAATACACTCCATCCATTTTCATTAAGGGTATTATGGTAAACTTTCACCTTTTTTCAACTCTCCTTAAAAACCATCAAAAGTCAAAATGAGAACATCTTAGGAGGACGGAGGAAGTATGTCATTGAATTGCATTTGTTTGTTTTTTCATTTTCTTTATTTATTCACTCATTTGTCTTTCGAGCTTTGTTAGCTTGAAGTGATAATGGCACTCCACATTTTTTGATTTTATTCACGTGGAAAGTGGATGGAGAGAAAAAAAAACTACTCTAGTAATTTAGACATACTCTTTTAGTTGGAAAAATAAAAATGTATGAAAGTGGAAAGGTATGCAAAAAGGGATCTTCTTCCATGCCTTGGCTAATGAAGGGGCATGGATGCTTCTCTAGTGAATTGTTCTCATGTGGACTTTTTAATCATGTTAATAAATAAAACACTCCACATCATCTTAACTCTTGAAAATTACATAATGACAACATTTCTTTTTCCCTTTTACTTATCTAAGGGTCTTTTCTTTTGAATGAAAATTTATTTCAAACATTTTCGATCCTTTTCTGTTTTTTCACCTACTTCAAGTTTATTCCAATAACAACTTAAAAAATTTATTTATTTTTATTTTTTAATAATATTCCTATGATATTCATTATAATTATAATTATTGCTATTAGTAAAATTGTCATTATTGTCATCGCCATTGTAATTAAAAAAAATAAAGAAATGAAGTAATAGCACAATTTTCATATAAAAAATATTTCTTTTGTCCCAAAAACATATATAGACTATTAGTTATCATTATAGAGTCAACGTAAAATATTAAAATGTTAAATGAATT